CCGTTATAGGGTATTAGTGTTACACATCATTGAACAAACAAAGCCATGAAATTCATAATGACTGTCAAATTTTGGATGTACCGGTATTCTCAATTTAATTTGTAAATTAAACTTACAGCGTGTTAATATTATTTCAATTCTTTACTGTTGCTTTATATATACATTCAATGGTCGTTTGCGGGTTTTAGCAAATCCCTGAAGAACAAAAATGAAAATGGCGGACATCGAAGCAATTGTCGTCCACCAGTAAATAACTAACTGAATAAACTATATTAGGAATGTGTCCAAGTTGTTCTGAAATCAGAATTATTAATTCTTTGATCTCGGGTATTTCCCGAATTATAGCTTAAAATAAGAAACGTATTTACGTGTTATTTTTGCCTCTGGTTTAACAACAGTATGAAACTACGGAGGCATTGAACAGGCAAGTTGGAGAAAAATAAGTAGTAACACAATTCGAAGAAGTTTTAACTACGTTTTTTTAAAAAAAACTTTATTTAAATGCTGTACTCATTAAAATACCTGTTTGTTTTCATGATACGTCCATGTCACGGAATTGCCCCGGTAATTTTAGAGGTTTACTTGTTCTGATACGTTGTATCTGTGTAAGAATCTTTAGAAAACGGGAAACAAAGCCTCGTCCTATATAGTAAGTTCGTCCTATCTTAGGATTTTTCAAAAATTAAGGCTGAAAATGAGCCTTTCGACCTATATACACCATCAACCTATAACCCGAAAATTACGGTAGTTTTCTAGTTATGAGCCAAACAAAACCACAAAATAAAGAAGAAAACATCTGTAAAATACATAAAAATCATCCAATTGCGCTGAAAATATCAGATTCACACCTTTATATGGTAAATAATAAGTGTACAAATTTTCAGACAAATCCATCCAATAATTTCTGAGAAACGGTCCAGACAAAGTCTTGTCTACAGATGGATAGACAGATGGACAGACAGACAGCCAAGCTGATTCCAATATACCCCCCTGAACTTCCTTTGTGGGGGTATTTTTAAAAGGGCAGGGGGACTCAATATTTTATGGCCATAATATTTTGAACCCCCCTCCTTCTAAAACTAAAAGGGCAGGGGGAATCAATATTTTATGGCCATAATATTTTAATAATAATATAAAAAAATGGCATTAATATATTCAAAATAAAAAAAACAACAAATATAATTTAAAATATTTATTTCATTTACCATTCATTGCATTATCAGCATTTAATAAGTAAATTTTAACCTATTTTATGTGGTGAATCTTAAACAGGCTATAGGTCACCTGTAATTAATTTCTTTTGTTCTCTCCCTCCCCTTACCTGTACACCATTCCCACATAGCCAAAACCAGTCACCTGTAACATTTTCAGAATTTTGGCTAAGTGGGAAGACACCTATTTTGAACCCCCCTCCCTCTTAAATAAATAGGGAAGGGGGACTCGATATTTTATGGCCATAATATTTTGACCCCTCCCCTCCTCTTAAATAAGAAGAGCAGGGTGACACCTATTCTACCCTATAATCATAATACCCTATAATAATCACAATAACAATAGAAGGGGTGTTTTAATGGAACATGCTTTTTCTTAGGCCCTATGAAACCTGAATCATTTAATTCCCTGTCATATTTTATTCTTAAAATGTTTCAATATAATATATATACAACAAGATTATAATACAATCAGCACTGGTCAGTATCTGGGTTTGTTCATTGTAGCCTAGCTAAGTCTTGGCATGATAATAAATCAAAGGCCTGAAAGGCCTGCGAGTTGACTCGCTCGAGTCAATTGAGCTTTTTCATACATCTGGGCACCATACCTTAATATATTCAGTTTATTTTGCATCTTAAGAGATTGAATAATATATGTCTGATCCATGTTCGGTTCATAAATAAAGTGTATATTGCTTTTCATTTATATATACAGGTTGGTACTAATGGGCTTCCGTATTATTTTGACTGGATTCTATAATGAATTTCAGCACATTAGCTGAAGTGGTCAGTGTTATGGAATAATTAGGTTAAAGATTCCCACAGCAAATCTGGATTCTAAAAATAGATTTTCAACAACAACTAGCTGCAGCTAATGAGAGCAGCAGGTGTTTGTGTTAGGGGGTATTCTAGGTCAATTATAAATAAACTTCAGATGGGAAGATTAGATCCGCCTAACATGCTTGAACATATATTCATACGCAGTAATTGTAAATCGTACAGGCATTTAATCAAATATTTCTTTAAAAGCATGAAGGCATAAATAATGTTATATGAAATTTTATACAGTTTTTACCTCTTAAGTTTATTCAATCACTCAAACCAAAGCATTTTTTGCTAGAACTATTATATTTGGCGTATGGATCACCTTGATGAATGCGTGAAAAAATTTACAGCTCTGAAACAGCTATGTCGACAGGGAGTAGCTCGCTACGCGAGCCAACTCAAAAAAACACATCAAGTTTTGAACCCTGTACTACTCGGAATCAATTTCAACTGCCATTTATAGTTACAGTCAAACTTGTCATAGCGGTCACCTCTATCCAGTGGTCACTTGTCCTATGCGGTCATTTTATTTCCTCCCAATGAAATTTCCTATATAAAGTAACTCTATTTAGCGGTCACCTGCGTAACGTGGTCAGCAGTCACCTAATTTCAAAAGAAATCGCCACTTTTCTGTCTTTAGTGGCCATTTTGTCCAATCACTTGACCTGATCTGGAGTCAGCTGATACCCAATTTTTGTTACTATGTAAATAATCAGTCAAGTGTTGCAGGATCGTGAATAAAAATTAATAAATGGAGCAATTATCTTACTGGATAAGCATATTCAAGAATCATTTTACAAACTAACTGCTTCTATATTTTACCAAACTTGAACAACTATACTTATGACGAAAAAAGTTAACAGGAAAAAAATGAATACTAGTCATGCTAGTATTATTATCGATAACAGATTATCAGGGTCTTATAACTTCTGGAATTTCGATTAAGTTTTAAAAAAGAACAACATATGAACTAAATTAATCTATTAATGACTATGATATTTTTTGTTTACTATTTACAGTGTCGATATCGCGCCCAACTCTGCATGATCTGAAAGTTGTAAATGTATTACGCTTGATAAGCATTTTAATTTTCACACCTAGGAAATTTGCATCATTTGTTGAAGCCATAATTACAGTTTATATACACATTGTGGCTTGGGTATGTTGTGAATTTCACAAAGGAAACGACTGTCAGGGATTAGTAACGCTTCATTGCTCAGGACACCTGTGCACCTGTTGATCAACTGAGAGTACGTCTGAGAGTTTATTATACAACAAATCATGTACAGTTGTGTACATGTATTTAAAAAAATACAAGTATACACAGGTTAATTTTATGAATCAAGTTTAGATAAAATAATTTTTAACTGATTTTATTCATTCCATACACAAAGAAAAATATTGTTTTGATGGGGGATAATGCAACACCCTGTAAGAGTAAGATTCAGTACACAGGTATTTTATTAATTTTTTGGATTCATTAAATTTAGTTTGAATTCATCCATAAAAGTACTGTATAGGGGATTAATTTCACGGGTTGTAATTTTCACGTTTTTCTCTTATCTGACACGATCGCGGTTTCTTGAATTCGCAGAATTGGTATATAATAAAAGTTACCTCCTTTGTCTATATTTGTTTTATTCATACCATAGCTACATGTAAATGACATTCTTCAGCGTTGTTTTTATTTCACGAACAACAGGGTAGGTGTATATAAAATTGATAGATTTAATTAATTATTAATCAAAACAAGTGCAGTTATCAAAAGTCATACACTCTAAACGTCAAAGACTTTCCTATATGCTATTACCATGAGTGCATGTGCACCCAAGATCTTCAATACAACACGGCCAAAAACCACTGGACGGAAGTAAATCTGTTTATGTAGTTCGCCGAAATAATATCTTCCACATCTTCTGTAAGTTCGATATTTATTTGAATGATTTTTTAAAACCAAAATGTTGATAAAAACGGACATGCATGATAATGCAGGTAACAAATACACGTGGTAAAATTAGTTACGCACGGGTCATCAAAACCCATGGCCCACGTGTTTTGATTGATGAAACATGTAGCGCTAGCGTTGGCTATCAAAACAGCTTTTGAACAATCATGAGTTATTATCTGCCGATTTGAATTAAAGTAAAGCGTGATAATTAGAATAATTGAATGACAAGTACTACTCGTAATTACTGAAACGACCATGTACTGCATGTTTCATGTAAATCAACCTGTCGTAGTCAACCTGTCATAGTCAACCTATCGTAGTCTATTATCAAATTTCCAAATAAAACATGGAGATTATTGAAAATTTATTCACTGTTTCTTGAATTCACGGATTTATTAACACCGTGAATATAGCGAATATCAACACAGCGAGTTATTTTCCCCCTATACAGTAATGCATCTCCTAAATAAAAAAATAATAATAATTTAAGTGAGATCACTAATGTCCAATACCTAACTTTCTTGTATATTTTGTGGTGAAAAACATAATATAAACACAAAACTGACACATTAAATTTGTAAATAAATTCTTTAAAAAAAAAAAAAAAAACTCTTTTCATCTCTCTATAAAGGTCACTTTTGAAGGATCCCGTAGGTGACTGCTTAATACAAGTTTCACTGTACATTGTTTATTGGCAATCTTATTTCTTGATAACCTCTGCCAACTAAATTAATAAACCCCACCCACTGGGACTGTTTTCTGGGACCCCTGGGAATGCTATGGGACCACTGTGGGACTGTTTTAGCAGTCCAAGAAAGCAGTCCCCAGGACTGCTCTGGGACTGCTTTGTGTCAGGCTGTGCCTGCCTTGAAAATGTGGGTTAGAATACAGTGTACATCAAAGAAATATATTTTTCATGATGGCCTAAGGTCAGTTAGATTAAAACTGCTCACCTTTTGTTGATTTTAAGAATTTAATTTCATCTCAAAAGCAAAAAAATTATATGTGGAAGATACCTGTCTAGAGGATTATAAGCTCCTGTTGCTGATCCAGGATTGATGTAAAATTTGTTTTCATGCTCAAAAGCTTCAAATTTATGTGTGTGTCCTGATATAAGGATATCTACATCCAACTGTCGCTGAACCAATGCCAGGCTCTCTGTATCACCCCAAGGGACCATCTGATGTCCATGACACAGTCCTATCCTAAACTGTCCTACTGTAACAACTTTCTGTTCAGGGTAGTTCAGATTCTATAAGAGATAATTGTGAAATTATGTTTGTATAATGGATAAAGCCTTTAAGTAATTTTTCTTGATTTCTTGGGGTTTTTTTTATATCAAGCGCAGTGAGCGGCACAAAGTGCAACTTGTACTGTGAGCTTTAACATGAATGCCAAGACAAAGACATCTTCACTAGCCAAGGGTTTCTGATACCCTATTCTCCTTATAAACCCTAATTGGCCTATAGTGTTGTCAAAAGAAGAGATAGTTTTAATTTGTCAAATCTAACACACAATGTACACATATATTGTGTAATTGACAGAAACAATGAAAGAAAAAGTGAGCTAGCTCACATACCCCACGCTTCCCGAAAACTTCATGGTGAAACACATAATGAAAGGCACAGCTAGTGCACTTTAAATACATAGTATAGATCAAAAAGGGCAATAATTACAAAAAAATCTTCACATCAAAATGTCTTGCATATGAGGACATTTATGAAGTTTCTAGATAAATAATGGAATCAAAATTTCTTGGCATTATACAAATCCAAACATTAATTTGAAGTGGAGGGGGGGGGGGGGGGGGGGAGAAATTTTCTTGAATAATAGGCAAAACTCTTTGGGATAAAATAATGGAATATGTCCTAAATACATGTATCTGCATAGGTTGACGAAACTATGTACAACAGTTTAAGAGGAGTGGTGCTGACAAACTGTTCATATGTATATTCAAAATATGGCCAAAAAGTCTAAGTTGGAAAGTGTGGAAATTCCCGGAAAAATAAAGGAATCGGAATTTCCTGGTAATATGCACATCTACATATTGTGTCCAAAATATCTGCAAAGTTTAACGAAATTCTGTGCAGCGGTTTATGAAGAGTTGTGCTGACAAACTGTTCATCTCTATATAAAAGGTATGGCCAAAAACCTAAGTTTTTAGTGCGGAAAGTCCCGGAAAAAATGAAGGAATCGGAATTTCTTGGTAATATGCACATCTACATATTGTGTCCTAAATATCTGCAAAGTTTAACGAAATTCTGTGCAACAGTTTATGAGGAGTTATGCTGACAAACTGTTCATCTCTATATAAAAGGTATGGCCAAAAACATTAGTACCTCCTGCAACTAGTTGCGTGGGGAAAAATAAAGGACAACAGAATTTCCTGTAATATGCACATGTATTGTTCAATAATCATAAATTGGCAAAGTTTAAGAAATTCTGTGCAGCGGTTTATGAAGGGTTGACACAGACAAATCTAATTTCCATTTCTATATAAATGTTTATTGTACAAAATCCTAAGAGACTTACAGTGTAGGGATTAAATATAACAAATAATACATCATATAATTCTAAACTGCACATCTACATATTGTGTAACAAATATCCATCTGCAGCTTTAAATTGTTTATTGCATATTTTGCGAAATAATGGAAATGCTACAGTCTACATGGTCTAATAAAAAAAATCAAAAATGAATTTGTTCTTTAGACTATAAAATTCTAAGTTAGACATGACTGCAATTTGTTGCAAATATATAAAAATTGAAATGTTTTTTTTTTTCAATAAACACATGTATAATTAGTATACGTGCTGCGCCTCGGAAAATAGTCGGTCTTGGGAAACAGAATCTTGACACAGATTTCAATGATATATATAACTGTTTTATTATATGATACAAATTTAAATTGTAAAGATCAACTTTTAAAAACAAATATTCATTAACAGATAACAAATTATACATCAATACATGTACCAGTTATTCTCTAAGCTTAACAAATATGCATTGTGTTTGTTGTTTATTTATTTTTTGCGTTTTGTTATATGAAATACGTCACCAAGCACTGCGTACATGGTCTCTCTAATGACGTCACAAAAAAGCTAAAAATGCATTTGTTCTTTAGACTATAAAATTCTAAAAAACTAACGCACGGCAATTTGATTCACAGCGATATATAAAAATTGAAATGATCTAATCACTTATTTTTATATAGGGAAAAATCAGTAGAGGTATAATAATTTTAATTATATTATACAATACTAATTTAGTTTTGGTCATACACTAAAACATCAATTTGTTTTAATTAGGCCACATAAAATTAATCTTTAGATTCTCATCCTAATTTGCTAAAAAATCGGGGCGGGTGGGCGGGTTTTATTTTTTATAATTGTTAAATTGTATAAGTATCAACAAAACATAGACTCTTCGTACACATTTTTTTTTCATTATGTTAATGCAAATATGAATAGATTTTCTTTTCATATTCTTTTAAATATTTAAAAAAAAATGCTTGCTTTTTAAAAAAATAAAAATTCATAGTTAATTAACAAATTATCAAGTACACATAATACGGCACACCCAGTGGGGATACCAATAAATTGTGTATCCATGACTTCTCATTGGCCTTTCCCCAAATACCTTTTACCCGGTAGTTTTACCAACAAATCCCTCTGTTTTGTGTAAAATATTATAGATTTCGACCTTGCTAAAAAATTTGATTGTTCTTGAAACTTGACATATTCGACATTAAAATAGATCATATTTGCAAAATCCAATGAAATATTCTAATGAAAAACCTAGGTCTGAACAGTTTTAAGATTTAACATTTCCTTAGCACTTAACATTCTCAAAAGTTTGCCAACGATGTTTTTTTTTTCTTCAAAGTAAAATCACACACAGCTGGAGATCGTTAAAACTTGACCAGGTGTCATTTTCCTTGTGTATATTTTAGTTAGTTAAAATCTCATTCAAAAATTGCTCATGCCAGTGGTGGCTACGGTATCTAGACGTGTTTATGCTATTTATTCTTCTCTGTCTTCTCTACACTGACAAATTATCTCTTCCTTCAATATTTAAACTGATTTTATTGCCGATTTTTCTCCATTCTTCACATGGCTCTTTTGCTATAAATAGCAACAAGCGACTTTTAATACAGACGGGAGATAACTCTTAAACTTTGATCTAAATTCTTGCTGAATAAAAATACATGAAAATTCTTTAATTAACACCCAAAAATTAAAATAAAAAACACCGGGGCGGGACATTTTGAGAGGGGCGGGCGGGGATGAGAATCTAAAGATTAATTTTATCTGGCCTTACATTACACCAATTGAAAGATCTTTATCTAGACTATAGCCATCAAGAACTCTTAATTAACACCAGCAACTATGAGGCCATTTCTTTTTGCCCAACTCCCAAGAGATAAATTAAGATAACAGCTCCATGATCAGATCTAGAGATGCTCTTGCCAGTTAGCTCCCAACAATAAACTCATTAATTTCTCTCTCATTTGACATGCACATTTCTGCTATCAAAATTTTCCTTGACCAGTGCTTGATAATTATGCTCATGGGACAAACTGAATTCCTCTCAAAACATTAACATTTGTTACAGATATCTATAAAGTATACGATGAAAAAATAAGTTTTTACTTACTTTAACATTTTTTAATAAGGATACAACTATATTTATACATTTTTTAGGATTATGAAATTTAAAATTTAAAAGACTTAGTTTTTTAAAAAAAAATCACTTATATTAAAGGTCAGAGTGACCTTGAAATAGGCCGCGACACACCTTCTGGTGTCATAACAGTATTACACTTTGGTTCACGTCAAATCATGGCTGACACAAAATAATCCCGGAATCTTCCCTTCCGATTCGGGCATTTTGATACAAAATGAGCTGAATTTTTTTTATGAGATGAAAAACAACATGTAAACTTCCTGTATTGACCAGATTTATTAAAATTTAGGGCGTGCTGATTTTTCTGTATACTGTCAAGAGTGGGGAGTGATTAGGCCCTAGACTAGATTTTCAAGCACCTGCTCGACTTCGACCGAAACAAACTTGCGTGCCTTGCTGGATGGCTATGTATATTTTGGTACTAAAATCTTTATAAAGAATGGTTTTACAAGATCTGAAAAGGAACCTTCTCAGAAGTTTGTTTTGAATTAGTTACATCTACTCAAACTTGCGCTTTTTTGGTAAGAATATATAGCAGAAATTAATACTGTTGTGACACCTGCAACCTTAGAGGTATACTTTTGCCAATTTTGAAAGCTCTAGGTCTAACAGTTTTCTAATTATGAGCCGGACAGGATTTTTCCATATTTGGCTATAGCATCTTTATTAAAGGTCAGAGCGACCTACTTTTTGCGCGCGACACACCGTCTACCCAAGAAGTATCAGTTGACAAAGTTTGATAATCCTAGGCCTAATAGTATTCAAGTTATGAGCCGGACAGGAATGGACAGATGGACAAGAAGCCTATAACATAATACGTCCCGTCTGAAGACGGGCGTTTAAAATGCATAACTAAAAAATTTCAGTTTTTAAAGAATAATTATTAAGTAGTATGTATTTATTTACATTTATCTATTGAATTCAGGGTTGGCCAGGAAATACAAGTGGTGGGAATTACCAGTGGAAAATACTGGTATTTCCTGTCCTAGTCAATACTACAAATTTTCTCTACACTGGGAAATATAAAATTATTTTGATGTTTATTTATTGAAACCATGTTTTCATATACAAAATTCAACAAGAGGCCCAGGGGCCATATCGCTCACATGAGTACTGTGGCTAAGAAAAAAGCAAAAATCAGTTTAGAATTAACAAGAGATGTTTGTAAAACACTTATGCCCCCCTCCCCCCAAAATGGGAATTTTTTTGTAAGTCCAAGGGGCATAACTCTGTCAAAAATGGTGCGATCATACTTAAAACAGAATTTGACCTAGATATTCATGTGATATATCTGTATACCAAATTTGATTTCAGTATGTGCAACGGTTATGAAGAAAATGGACGGAAACTAAATGGACCAACAGACCGACCGACAGACCGACCGACCGACAGACAGCAGCAAAGCAATATGCCCTCCCTTCTTTGAAGGGGGGCATAAAAACTTAAATGCATGAGTGGTCCCTTTGATCCCCCATCATGACCCCATCCTACACCCGGGGTCATGATTTGAACAAACTTGAATCTACACTACCTGAGGATGCTTCCACATGAGTTTCATCTTTCCT